CCTCGGACTTTGGCTCGATGAAGGAACAATCAGCTGGAGTCGGCTCTGCAGTCCCTATCACTCCATCTTTCCCGAATCCAAGGGAGTTTCACGTGCTTTGGCACAATCCTCCGACCGCGCCAGGGAGTTGCCTCCAAAAGGGCCACAAGACTGTGGATGCGCCCAGGCGACATCCACGTCAGCCTTGTCACAATGCGTCTCTCCGAGCATCTCTGCGTCCTACCGTAGATGCCTTGCCAAATTTGATCAATACCACATTTCGCTCTGTGAGGATAGTCGCAGCCAAACTCTTGACATAAGCTAGACGGAAGTGCTTCTGTGCTCGCGTGTTTACGAATCGCAGCTGAAAGAAGGTTGCTGCCCGACTGCGTGCTTGTGAGGGCCCCGGCTTTTGCTCCTAAGATGAAGTGCATCAACACCTGCATGCTTCGGAAAAGACCCTATCTTAGTGAAAACTTGTTGGGTCTGGCTGAAGAGGCGCTTGAACCAAGGCTTCTCGTAGCAGCAAAGCCAAATCTAGGAGAACTGGATCAGCCACCTGCTGCAGCTCGGCTCGTTGTCCATAGCTACTTCAAGCGATCTACGGTGGAGGAGAACATAACGATGCTTGGAACCATTCCAAGGCCAAGCTGACAAATACCATGGTTCCACTGGAGCTGCACTCGGGTTACTCACAATTGCAGCATCAAAAAATTTCCAGCGGACACCCTCAGGTCATGCATGCATGCATGCTCTGCGATCACAGATCACTTCTTCCAGCTATTTCCTGCCCTCAGATTGTGCTTGTGCCACTGCTGCAAGTCGTAACTTCATTGCGGAAACCTAGATGCCGGCCCCAAACCAATCGAATCTAAGGCTCTGACCGCACTTCTCACGTGATCGCTTGAGACCTGGACAGCTCTGAGAAAGTCACACTGGCTCGGAGCCTTTTCTGTTGACAAGTCAAGCGTCTCTGGACGACAGGGTCACGTTCCACTTCGGCAAAGAAGTCTTCGAGGCCGACAGGCACCGGGTTCCTGCATCGCGTATGCCACGGGGACTCGTGATCATGTGACTAGCACATGTGTGGCATGTCTGCGACGAAACAGCGCTTCAGATCCCTGCCTGAACGGTCGCTGGATCCACTTGGACTCCAGGAGTCCGCCCCCGACCTTTTTCAACAGTTTCTGGACCTGGCGTGCGTAGCAAATCGCTTCGTGAATCCAAATGCTACACAACTGCCACAACAGTACTCAAACAGCCAGAATGCTCATTCGGCCGGACATCCTAGCAGCCCTAGCAGTCGCTGTCTGCCTTTAGCTTACGTGCGGTGGAACCTGCTTTAGCTCATGTCTGGCAGGGCACCTTGCTGGAGGCTTATTTGGCAAGCTACTTGCGGTCTCATGCGGTGTCCAGTTGCTGCCTCCCGTTTGTTGCAGTGTTGCTTTGGTCTTAGTCGAGCGCCGACATCGAACGCTGACGACTTCAGTCCGCAACCGCGGTAACTGTGTTTTCCATCGACATACATGCTCGAACTTCCAACGTATTGTCGCTGTCCGTGAAAGAGCATGGTCGTCGCCAGTAACAGTGGGTTGGGGCATACCAACTTCAGAAGCAACTTGAGCCCTTAGCACTGCAAGCAACGTCTACCATGATGCAGCGTCTCTTTGGCAAGTTCTCCGGGTCCGGCTTCTGACTGCAGCCTTGCGTGAAAACTAGACCTGGGCGTTCCTGCCTGCCCACTCTGTGTGCAGCAACAAGCAGTGCGGCCCCAAGAATCCTGGACACTAGAGCGGGACACATTTCCAAACGTGAACCCGGACTACAGGATTGCAACATTTGCCATGTATGCTGTGATGCTTCAGTCTCTGGTATCTGTGGCATTCAACTCGTTGTTGTTGGGACTTGCAGTAGAGGCCCTACTTTGCTGAGATCTGCTGAGCATAGCGGGGAATTGTAGGTCTGCCCACTAACCCCAGACCGTGCAAAAAGCCATCACTTTTTTTCTAGCCCCAGTCTACTTCTTCATGTCCGAAAGGCATGAGTGTGCGGTAAGCTAGTCAAGAAAGCACTCAACAAGTGTATCTGGAGACTTCTTGAGTCGTGTTCAAACCAGCAGGAGCCAGGCTCAGTTAGCAGACCAAGAAGGTCAGACAATCGAAGGAAGCGTAGAATGTCACTCCTTCTTGTCAGGATCGGCACCGAAGTGCAGCAGCAGCTTGACCTGGAACTTCCAAGAGTCACGGCTACAAAGCTATACAGTCTAGCGGAAGTGTCCAGTAACAGCAATCTGCAGATCTCTCAAGATTTGCTAACAGGCACAGTTTGCTACTAGAAGTCTGCAATCATGCTTTGCGAGCCGAGCCAAGTGTCCATGTCGTGGTCATTGTGCACCGCAGCAACATGCAGAGGATATGTCACTGCCAGACCGAGATGGACTCGTTTACGGCAGTTCACATCAATCCTTCACAGAACGACAGGCAGCCTCATCTCAATCAACCCTAGCCGCTCTAGCGCGTCCTCTTGAAGCCGTTGTTGAGGAGGAAGTAAGCAACTTTCAGCTTGGCCTTGCAAGCGGTGCAAGTTGACTTCGCCTAGACACGATGGACTGTGTTGGAGGCACTGCACATGATGTCGCTCTGCCTGCGTCATCACCTTCCTATGTCGTTGGACGATAAGGTCTCGCTCTTTGCCTCAAGGTGAGGTGCATTGCGCTAGAAGTTTTGCTTCTGTGCGCGAACAATTCCATCAAGATTTGCACTGAGCTGCTCTCCACCAGATTATACAACGTCTTACTGAGGTTCCCTCTGCATCATTCGAGGCGTGACTTCGATGGCTGAGCGGCAAGGCAGGCAGCCGGACTCGCTACTGAGAACCCTCAAGCCTTGTGAAGATGCAGGCAAGCGTCACGGATCTTCTGCCGAGCGCAAGTCTCTCACCACCACAGCGGGTGCCGGCATGGAACGGGGACCTTTCCTCAGCAGGACATAGCACTCGTTGACGAAAAAACGAATCGACGGACTCAGACTTAGATGCCTGCGCACCAATCTACAGAAAGCACAGCATAGGCATGGCTCAAGTTGACAAAGCTGATCAGCTCTGCAGCAAAGGCGCTTCAGTGCACTCCGCTGCTTGTGAGCCTGGCTGGTTGGTATGTTTGACGACCTACGACGTAACAGTGGATGTGAGCGGACCATGGTGCATCTGCAAATGGTAGTCCACGATGGTTCGGAACACGAAGAGAAATCCAACACTTCTGGCTAAGCTTGTCCGCCCTTGCCCTTTGACAATCGGGCCCACAGTATCCCACAGCTGGCAAGGGCTGCCTGCACTGAAGAGGTCTTTTCTGAGGCCGGCTCAGAAACCTTCAACGAGCGTCTTGCAATCGGCTTGAAGCTTTCGCAAAACCATGTAATCGGAAAGCTTGGAGATATAATCTGGATGCCAGTCGAGCTCTGCGATGTGACGAAAGAGGAGGCCTGACTCGGGCGGCCGCAGCGCCAGAAGTCCATAATCTTAATGTCCAGGAGTGCGTCGAAGTGCAGTACCATACTACATTGCATTGCTTTTTCGCGATACTGCTACTGAAATTTGACCATGCTTGACAATGTCTATATGAACTTGGCGAGAGGAAGCTGATAAGCCAATGCCTGGGTGACAGCATGGCCTGTTGATTTGGCGAACGATGGCAAAAGCCACTCACAGTGATCGGGTGCCAAAGCTGATCACGAGGAGAGGCCTGGGGAATCGCAAAGAGAGCTCATACAGAATCAAGACCACCACCTCAGCCGACAACTCAGCTTTAGGAAGATGTCCATGCCTCGATCTACGCTTGACACATCTGCAAGCTTGATCCGATGCGAAGAAGTATAAACAAGCGCACATAAAGCTTTGACGGTGTTGGGCTGGGGCCGCTACAGGTACTGGAATCTAGAAAGCAGTGCAACTTTAATGACTGCTAATACAGACGCACATGAAGCAGCCAACATGGTGATTCGTAGTGACTGTCCAGCTTTTGTGTACATTTTTGTCGGGGTATCGATGGAGCTCATTCGTGGCATTTGTTGGCAGATCGTGTCAGTAATTCGGGCAGTGGCTTCGTTAGATGGATGTGAGTTAATCTGAGCATTAATTCCCACATGCAGGCGCTGCTGACAGGACCAGACCGTCCAGCCAAACAGCTTTCCTCCAGCAACGTTGTGAAGCGAGCCCTTTGTTTCTGAGGAGATCGCGACACACGCTGCCAATGAACCCGCCACCCACCGCCGCCAGTCCTGTTTTCATGTTCGGCGCACTCTTCCTTGGCTCACTTCAGCTCCTTTTCGCAAAACTGCTGCTGAGACAGGCGGTAATGCCATGGAATCAGCTCCAACCTGGCCGCAGGTGAGCGGCAATTTTTCTCCTGATCGATGTTTGTGTCACACTTTCCTAATCCCAAGTACCCGGATCGGGCCTTGCGGCATGTTCAAGGGCATCGCTTCAGGCTGCATGGCGTGAATGTGATGCACCGACATACCTGTCGAACAGTACGGTGCTTTATGAGAAATCTGTGCAGAAAGTGCCGGTGGTCTCTCTCTCCTTGCCGGGTGAAGGTCTTGCATTCCTCCAAGCCTGGAGCAAGCACCGAAATCCGCTGCCTCCAATCGGCTCCACGCCGTGCACATGGCTCAACCCCGACGATGCAGGCTGATGCATCTCTGCTCGCTGTCTGTCAGAAGCTGGTGATCTGCATGCCGACAAGCTGTCTAGCTGGACGTTGTGGCCTGTGCTTTGAAGCTGCTATAGGAGGGTACAGGCATGTTGCAGTATATCATGCAGTACCTTTGTTTTGGGGACAGACGACCGGCAATAGATTCTCAAGGTTTGCTACTTCTTCCGAAGTTTCAGCTGATGCGCAACAGGCAATCATGCAAGGATAACTGGCTGCCGTGCAGTCTCACTTGACAGGCGCCTTGACTTTTCAAACGCCAAAGCATTTCCAGCAACCCACGGGCTCTTTTGTCAGTCTTGTGGCAGCCCATTTACTGCAGCTTGTCGTCTATCTGCTTCTGTAGCATCTTTAGCGCCTGAAATAGCGAAATTTCTGGTTGATGACAAATTCGACTTGGACGGCTTGGCAGACTATCCAGGATCAATGTCAGCACATAAAGTCAGTCCTTGTAGCGGTTCTGCAGTTTCAGGTTCCTTTGCTTCTCATGCTCCACCTGTGGATTCGTTCGAGGCTCGGGCCACGCTCTCCAAGCGCTTAAGAGGATCTGGCCTGATCCCTGAGCTCCTCCACGCGGCTCTGAATGGCCTGACGAGATTTGAACCCGGGAATGCCGAAGTGGCCCCTGAACCACGTGGGAAAGACCTTCTCCTCTCTCGCTCGAAGGGTCTGGAAGACTTCTGTCTCGATGGAAATCGTCTCCCGCTCCTGCGACGTCGGAGCGATATCGCTACAGGCTGCCCTGAGAAACCAATCGTTCACGAATGGTGACAGCCTCGGAGAGCTTCCGGATGTGAAGGAGCGCCTGTCTCGCCTTTGTCATGTAGCCTGCTGCACAAAAAGGGCCCCTGGTGTGCCGATGCCGCGTGCCAGAGGCTCCTAGCCTCCGAGTAGTCTTTCCATTTTTTCTTCCAACTTCTTCGACTTCTTCTCCTCCTGGTTTGCTGTCACATGCGGCTGTGCACAGAAGTCAATCTCCTGCTGTGGATCAAGGACACACTGCTCATCATGCACGTGCAGCTGCAAGCACGTTGCTGTCTCCTTCTGGTGGTGCGAGTCCACAATCTCGAACCTCAGCAAATGATTCGTGCTGGCTCCTATGCAATTGCCCGAGGCTGCCCCACCCTCAAGACAACTCAAACACCGGGCACCATGTAAAGGCAAGTGGGCATTCGGGTATGCGGCATGTTTGGTCGCAGCTGAAAGTGGAAGCAGTCCTTTCTCAGCCTGCGGCTTATGCCTGGCGGACTCCACCCGCTCCTTCTTTCCCAAGAGTCGGCCATCGACGTAACGTTTAGCAGAGGGCAGGAAGACCTGATGCTTTGCGAGTCCGAACTCTCAACGGAATCTGTCTCTGCAAGGCTCCTTGCGTAGGGCTCACTGCTGGTGCTCTCGTCGAAGGCTGCCTGGATCAGGCTGAGGCAAGCTGTGCATCCCAGGTGGTGGAGGCCCTGCCACCGTGGCCTGCACAGCCACCTCCGAGTTGTGACCACCGCCGGCATCCTTTTGGTATCTGCTGGGTGCAGCATGATGCATCCGATGAAAACCCCCGGCCTGTGCAAAAGCCTCTAATTCCTCTTCCAGCAGCTCACTCGCGCCTTTCAACCTTTGTAGCAGGCACCCCACTCAACATCGCTGCTCCCGTCGTTGCAAGCGACTTGGACAGGATGCAAAGTAGGGCACACACTCCTCCAAGCTAAAGTCAATCCCTGCTGGAGGAGCCTGCAACAGCTTCATGAAAGCCTTACTGACCCAACAGCTCCTTGGAGACCCACTCTACAAAAACACTTATGGATGAAAAACATGACTCACGATCCTGCATCATCGGAGTGCCATGCTCCACCCATAGCAAGCGAAAATGAAAGACCACAAAACCAGCGATCACTCGCGGAATCTGCATACAAGGCTTGCCGTGGCTTGCTCAAGACAAGCGAAAGATGTGCAGCTGCACCTTCTTTGGGGGCTTTGCGCCCTTAACCGGGAACAGTACAGCGTCGCGAGTTACCATGGCGCCCATCTCCTGTCGATTCAACTGCGGCTTTCCATAGCACAGCCATCTATCTATACTCCAGCCCGAAGAACTCTCGAGTCTTGTCAGCGCCCCAACCCAGTCCTCGTGCAGCAAGGTTTCTGCCTGCTGCAGCCTCGCAAGCAAGCTAGTCCTCTAGAATCTCGCAAGGCTATGTCAAGCATCAGTTCCTCAAATGCACAGACACAGAGACAAAGTCAACTCTACACCTGTTTGCAGCTTAGACACAAGTGTTTGGGTCCTTCAAGCACTTCTCCGGCCTGCGGGTCAAAATGAAACAACGACACTGAGATTTCCTCCTGGCTGACAGCATTGGTCCTGCGATGCAGCGCTTTCGAAGATCATCATCCCTGTCTGCACCTGGGATACTTTCTGACACTGCAGAGATGGAGCGATCCATGTCGTTTAACTTCCAGGCATAGGGATTGCAAGGCCACAACACCAAGGGTCTACACTGTACATTCCATAGCCTACGACATCTACGACCTCTTCGAAGACAACGATGCTCTCTTTCGGCCGGCACTGCTGGGCACCGCACAGGTCGTGGCAAACCCAGCTTCACAGGCTGACTTTGCTTTTGACGCTCGATCTGTCAGCATGCAGAAAAGAACACATGCAGCTGCTAGCGGCTAGCGGCGATGCTGTATGCATCAGTGAAACAAGGACCGGTCTGTGCCTCCAGTCTTTTCTGCTCCTCCTTTGCCCTCCGCTTGTCTGCATCAGCTGCATCTTCCTCCAAAGGCCTCGCTGGCTCTCGTCGGGCAAGCAATGGCTATAAATGGTAGGATGGCCTACATGGAGATACCGAGAGATTAGCTTGACCAGATCGGCAGGACGGGCCAACCTGAGTTCCACACGCCTGCGCGTCCGCCTCTTCCTTACAACTGCAATGCAGGCCGATGGCTGAGATTCTGCTCTCCAATCCGGCCCAAACACCAAAAAGTTGAAGATGAAGCATAACCTTCCTGGCAGACCCCTGCAAGATTCTCCCGATCAACACACCCTTCTGCGAAATCTTCCACCCTACAAACCTATGCTGCAGACGGCAGTTTCTCAGAATAAAAACCCCAAAGCTGCCTCCATGAGATCTGGCATCGAGATCTCGACTTCGTTCATCGGAGCAGGCAGGCTACCTAACCTCAGTTTCAACCATTCTTCAAAACCCAACTCTGCTTCTGCAAGCTGTATGGTCCCATCTCTCACCCTGCTTCTCCTTCGTGAGCTGCTCTTGTAGAGTGGCACGACCCGGACAGCGTTCGGACCTTTAATCATCCAGCTCCCTGAAAGCCAAGCATGTCTTGTCAGTGTAGCTCCCTGCTGCCTCGGAGACCAGAGACAAACCACATCATTGGGCTCCCCACGCAGCTTGCATCTGCATACGTTGGTTTGCCCTGGGCAAACCCAGGCTAGGTGCTCTGGATGGTGTCAGGTTGGCGAAAGGCTTCACACAGGCTGGAATGCGGTTGGTGTAAGAAAGACTTGCACAAAGGCCTTAAGCACATGCTGTGGCAGTTTCTTGCAAGCTGGTCTAGCTGGATGCAGCCAAGTCCAGCTTGCCTCTGCAACGAACAGACACTGCACCGTAACCAATCTGATTGCAACAGCATCGTGCCGACAGAGCCACTTTCGAATCCTGTCCGGCATTTGCTCCATCTCCTGCGAATGGTGGCCCCGCCGATGCACGACATCACCACTGCACCCTGGAAAGTCTCCAAACGGAAATCATTCCACCCGAAGCCATGAATCGAGCTTGCGACATTCACTGCACTCGCGAAGCTGCCTCATCCTGGTTCAGCGCAAGGCCGTCGCGAAGGCTCTTGCCAGCCTCGGCTCCGGGGAAGGGCTGCCTCCGGGCTGTGAAGAACAAGCAACTGGTTTGGGCCCTCGTGCTTGTGTGGCCACAAAAAGTGCATTCTGCGCTACAGCACAGTGCTCTCGTCCGAGTTTCTGGCGGCACTTGCTCCCCCTGGAGTCGCACCTACGCAGACATGGTCCCACGAAATCAGCATCTTTGGCACGATTGCACCCCTATCAGCACAAGCCGGTCGGCGCTACTCTCATGGTCCGATATGCCGCCAAAATCTACGAGACTATGCTGGGAAGGCCTCCGGGCCCCGGCGTCTGTCCAAGAAGTGGATTCCTTTCGAAGCACTCGGCAGAGAAGGCTTTGCTTCCGGGGGGGGCACGAAGACTAGCGCAAACTGCATGCAGGGCGCGGAGTGAGACCCGCGGTTGCATTGGCACGAAGCCCGGGTGTCTGCGCCAAAGGGTTCGGAGTAGCCCCAGGCGTAGCGCCAGGAGTCGCACCTGCCACACAAGGAAGCGGCCTGGTCTTGAGCCTATGCATAGCATGCAAGCAATACGATTGCCTCATGTGGTCCTTGAAGATCCCACCCCAACACACAGCCGAACGTGCGCCTGCCTGGTGTCAATCCACCTAACATGCTTGCCACCTCCTCACGCGGCCTCGGCAGCACGAAGATGGAACGAACTAGCTGCTCTAGTCTTACTCATTGCCTGCATACGGACTGGGGACCATGCGTGACACCTGCTTGCACCTGTCCGAGACTGTGGCTGCCTTAAGAGGAAGCCTCTGCCTGCCTTTGCTGGCTTAGCTTTGGAAGGCCACTGAGCGGCCCCTGAGCGCCTGCGCCTCAAGCATGACAGGGTCCGGCCGCCTTCATCAAATGACATGAAATTCAGGAGCAGTGCAGTGTGGCGACAGGAACCTGGGGCCTTGGGGTTCGAACAGGCGTGGCGCCAGGAGTGTCGCCATAGCTTTGAACCAGGCCGGCCGTGGAAGTGTCGGCCTCGAGAAGGTGGCTGTGACCGGACCGGAAATTTTCTTGCACGTTGTCTTCCCTCTGTGCGTGCGCGGCAGGTTGAAAGTTGAGACTTCGACACTCTCAGCTTGAAGGGCAGCTGCGTCTGCACCTTGCAATACATGCCGGAAGGACGCATGTGCACACCTGGAACCACTCGCGATGCTTCGACAGTGCGTGGGGCGGATGCCCATTTTGACGATGGCTTCGAGTTCCTCGTCGTTAAGCTGCGGGGCAGGCAGGCTCAATGCCTAGGTGCGGGCCAACGTGCTGCTGCACTAGTTCTGCACTAGTCGCATGCGTCGATTCTACATGTTGAAGCCACCTCTGACAGTTCTCTCCCTAGCAGCAACATCTCAACTGAGATCACCAGCCGTCCGCTTTCGAAGCTGCTGTGGGTCCTGAGTGTGGTAGATGACGTCTGCTGAGAAGCGCATGTCCGTGGATCATCTGGGTAAGTGGCATTGAGCTTGTTGATCATGTCGATGGCTTCTGGGAGGTTCTCCTCCTTCAGGCCTGAGTTTGCGGTAGGGTTTGCGGCTCTGCTGGGAGTGCAAAACATGCGCAACTGGCTTTTGCAACGTAGCGGCGCTTAAGCTTCCTCTCATCATCCTTGCGGCGGCGCCTTTCCTCATCGAGTCGGCTCCTGTGCTCAACGGCCTGTCCACACGCCGACACCGCGCTATGAGATGCTCTGCGAAGCTGTGAGTTCGCCCTACCTGCAGTGTCACGTTTGCCATGCCCATGGTGACCCGGGGGGTCTCCTGGCAACACGCGGAACTCGAGGCGAGAACCCCTTCACTTCCCCCTGAAGAGCTGCGACGCTGCGAAATCTACGAACCGAACTCTCTGCGTTTGCAAGCTGCATGACGCCCCGCTGCAAACATCAAACTTGTCCGTCGTCGGAAAATCAGAGAAGCCAACATGCGCTTCACATGAGGTCCTCCGGCCCCACTTCGTGGAAGCCGACTGGAGGGACGGCCTGTCAAATGCAAAAGCAGTGCTCGGTATAGTCTAGTCTTAAAGTCGTGTCACTTGGATGGTTGACAAGCATGGTGCAATCAGTTGTACCTCGAAGGGCACTTCCTCCCCATAGTCAATGTACTTGCGTGACTTGTACCTGGCAAGACTGCAGGACACTGCAACCGGGTGTGTCCCACACTCCCGAAGCGTTGGCATCAAAGAAAGCATGAGACTGCAATCATTCACGACGCAAGGCCCCAAACACACTTTGTCGCCAGGATCCGGCAGAACTCAATTTCGATTGTTCCGGCAGATGGAGGAAATATTGCACCACGCAGATGCTGCATCCTGTTCTTAGTGACGATCGTTCATCGGATGCCGATGGCGGGGGCCGGGGGGGCCGGGGCACCTCCGTGAGGTGCTAATTCCCGCGGCTTTGAGCTCCCGCCCTGTCGCAGACAGCCAACTCTTTCGGTTCACTGAAGCAACGCTTGGTCTGAAGAAGGTCCCTTGGTCTAAGCCCCCTTCTTTTCTGCAGTGCGGCAAGCCGACGTGCTTCTTCCAGCTGCTTCTCACGGGCCTTGCAAATATATCATGCTGCAAGATTCATCGATGTTGCTCAGCTAATCTATTTTTCAGGATCCGGTACGGATTTGCGACAGTTTAGACACATGCCACATCACCTTCCAGCACGTGGCTGTCACGAGATGCTTGCTTTACCAGAAATCTGTGCAGGATAAGCGCAAGCTGAGATGCCTTTCGCTTGGCTTTCTTGCCGCGAGTATTTGCCAGCCTTGCCCGGGCCTGGCCATCCGTGATGCTAACTCACATCAGATGAGGCATGAACACTTGGGATCTGGAAGAAGCAGACAGAGATCCCCTCTTCACAACAAGATGGTTAGTTACCAGTAGGGGAATGATTCCCTGGCTGAGGGGTTGAAAAGCTGCACGCGGCATTTAATCCGCCTCTGAAAGCATCTCTTTCTCATCCTCGTCCATGTCAATCGGATCCGCCCTGAAAAAGATGCATAAAAGCTCGGTTTCAGAGGCGGAAGAGACTCGCGCGTCACTTGGCCCCGTTTTGTTCGGTGCCTTGCGGGCTTCGTCTCCGGATGAGGATCGATCTCGCCCGGCCTTGGATCAGCATCAAACACTGCTGAATCACCTGGCAAAAGGACCAAACTTCTAGGACTCCAACTTCAATCGGCGCGGATCGTTTTCGTCCATTTCGTCCTTGCCCTGTCGACGAGAAAGTTTTTGCAGGTTAAGAATCTGCCGGTCTCTGTCGCAGCGCGGCAGTCGACAACACCTGCCTGAGCTTGGTCCAAGAGCTTCTCGTAATGCTCCAGGCACTGGTAGGCTGTACGGCCTCCGGAAAGCTGATGAAGTAAGCGCTCAAGCGATGCAGTATCCACTAGCAGCAGCAGTAACGTGTAGCAACACTTCAGATCTCTCGAATCCTTTAAACCCTTGCAGCGATTAACTTTTAATTGCCTGTGCCTTGTAATCAGAGGTTCGCTGGACCTCTTAAGTTCAGCTCTGAGCCCCAGGCCAACAATCGGAGCTATTGTTCGCCACTGGGTTGGAAAGAGTTTTGCCAAGTGTAGCAGCTTCTCCTGCACTTGTTGCATCAGCGGGCATCAAACTATGGCCGTGCAAGTACCGCAACAATTGAGGTAGTCCGCACGACTGATGTTCGGGCTAATAGGCACAGCAAAAGAGACCCACTCGGCAACAATTCCTTCTGAGCCTGCTCCAAAAGAATCCGATGCTTGCATCCGTAGCGCGTCCCTGTACATCCAAACATGTGCTGTGAAGTCTTAAACATACATCTCCTCCTCCTCACGTGTCCACTCGGTTTTCTTGACACTGGGGTCGAGCCTCGCTGGTTCGGTGTGCTGGCTTGGGTTTTGCCGTACTTCTGCCCAAACAAGCCTGTTCCGGAGTGCCCTGGTCGTCTCCACGGTTCCAGAAACTTCCCAAGATGCGGCTGCACTTGTGTGGTCTGCAGTTGTGAACATCGCCAGCCCCGGCAAGCTTTTGGTGAAATCCCTTCAGAACAACGGACACATGTTCATGTTGCCATATGTTGCCACATCTTTACAGTTTCGTCATGCTTCGTTCGACAACTCTGAGTTCCAAGCCATTCGTACCAGCGAGACTTGCACTGCTTGGGGCTTTTCCTGCACAACTTCATGAGATGCAAGGCCGCATGCCGATGAATGCAAAATTCTGATCTGCCCACTCAAAGCAGATTTTGAAGCCGGCCTGGCCAGTAGAGACGCAACTCGAGGCCAGTTGTTCAGGCCATATTTCATGACCGCAGCCTCTGAGGGAAGGATCGGAAGCCGGACTGGATCCCCCACTGCCCGTGACGCCCGTGCCTTGAGGACTTCATCCTCTGAGTTCTTCCACACGCCTCGAAGTCCACAGCGGCGAAGCGGCAGATCAGCGAAAAGCAGCCCTCTAACTTCCCCCGCCTCCTTTAATGAGGATCCTCATCTTCCTCAGCTACACAGGGAAACACCGGACCAGCCATTCTGCGTCCAAGTACGACTGCTGTCGAGCAGCGCTGGAAGCCCTCTTGGTTCTGGCCGTCAGGGCAGGAGACGGAGTTTGCGGCGGATGCGCTTCTAGCAGCGCAGCCGCAGCCGACCACACATTCGAGGTATACTGAAATGGAATTCTTGCATGAGTCCTTCAAATTAGACGTCTGGATGGCAAGTCAGTCCTGTTGTGTAACTCTTGCAGGTTCGCTGGCTTTCCAGACTTCCATTCCCATGAAGGACTTTCGAACCGTGAAATCGTCATGCCGAGCTGCATGGCTACATCACAAACTATCTATGCCATGTATGCCTCTATGCAAGTCTTCTTCTGCGTTTGCAAAACTGTCTCGGGCTCCTGCACCGCCGCACCGCTGATGACATGTTAGCGAGAGCTGAGCAAGACAGATGCTACAACATGGCACGGATGACCAGACAACAATGAAGTATCAAGCTCCCGATAACCTCCCCGACGAGGTGAGCCGAAGGAGACCTTCCTTGTAACAGCTCAGCCTCTTTGACAGAAACGCCTCGCAACTGTTGCTCAAGCCTGGAATGCAGTCCATGTCAGCCTCCATGTGCTCGTTCGCTCGTCATGTAAACATATCGTGCACAACGTTTAGTCTGAGCCCGTACGAGAGCTCGCAGACTTTCATCTGCCGGTGAAGTGGCCAGCTGACGGCTCTTCGATGGCGTTGAGATCTTTTGGGTACAGGGCAATGCGGGGTGGCCCTTGGGGCTGCTTCTGCTGTGTCGACGCCGATCCGGCCATACGCTGCTGCTGCCACCCCGGGGGAAACCGATCCCTTGCGGAGCCCTAGAGGCTCGAGCCCTCCGGCTCTCCCGGCCGGCTCTTTCTCGCTCTGCCGCTCTGCCGCTCTGCCGCTCTGCCGCTCGGCCGCTCGGCCGCTCGGCTCTGCTTCTTTCACTCCCAGCTCCCGGTGCCCAAGGACTGCAAAGTCTAAACTTCACACACGCGAGAATGCTTTTCTTGGTCCAAGCTGCAGGTAGAAAGGCGACACCTCGGCAAAGGTCTTTAGCAAGCCGCCCTCAACTTAAAATTCGGACCGTGGTTGCAGGTACAGCCTTTAGCCCAAAAATCCGTGTTGCAACAGTGTGCAAAGTCCTGTACAGTGGAACAGACCGTCTCGTTAAGACATGAGAAGCATCTTGTTCCGTGAGAAGAGGCGCAAGTATTGAGACGGCCCCATGTCGTCTGACTCCGTCAGCTTTTCACGGAGCACGGCGGCAGACAGAGCTGTCTCCGCCTGCCGTGGCGCGCCCCCTCTGCGTCGTCGAATTACGGGCTAAGGATCCCTCCCTGCACTTCCGAAACAAGGCTAAGCAAAGAGCTTTCGAACCGCAAGACACCCCTTGCACCTTGCCGGTTCACAAATTAATGACTGATGTGGCTATACACTCATGCACTTGCACCGGTGTGTCAGTGTTGACCTCACCCGGGTAATACGCTGGCTCGCAAACCGACGAGAGTCGCGGGCCAAATTTTCTCTGAGCAGCCTGCAGTATGTGCTGTCCGTTGGCTGCATGTCGAAGCTTCGGTCTCAGAGCAGTGAGTAGCTCCAGGATTCTTTGCTGCTCAATGCCCTGACAATCCTCCATTACTCGCTGCGCAATGTAATTGCCGAATCGATCTAAAGCTATATGCTCAAACGGTGAAGCTGTGCTGCCACTGCCAGCTAGAATCGTTTCCATCATATCATATCTTTCCTGAAGCAGCTCGTGCTGGTACTTCCCCTTCAAGGCATCCAGGAAAGCCTCCATGACAAGGCTGGCGTGCCGATGCTGAGCATAAGTCAGCACGTTTGCCGTTAATGCACGGCCAATCATCTTGATGTGCACCGCTTTCCCGGAGCCAAGAACTGCCCTGAGAACATTGTTGCCATACGGATCCATTATTAACTGGTGCAGATTCTCTTGGTGCAACAGTGCATCCAGAAGTGCCATCATGTTCCCACTGTGAGGGCAATGCTCTATAAGTCGCTGCATAACACGGCCGGAATAAATGTGCAAAGAGGTATCAACGGCATGGTCTTTGAGCTCCTCCACAATGAAGCTGACCGCATCGTGGCTGAGCAGCTCCACGCAGCGTTGCAGCACAAAGTTGCCGTGACGGTGTCGACAGCACGCCAGAACGTTCCCTCGTAGCTCCTGGGCCAGCGCCGCATGTAGCTCTGCAGGAGCGGCCTGCAACGCCTCCTGCACCACCCAGCAGCCGTGCTTGTCTTTCGTCAGCTTCAGTAAGGACCCACGGAGTCGGCGAGTAATTTTCAATCGCAAATCATCGATTCCAGGCAAAGCTAGGAGCTGACTGATGACAGGCATTGCATTCGGGTCACACGCCAGCACCTTCAAATCCGGCAGCAGGGACGTCACCAATTCCGCACAGAAGCTTTGCAGCTGAGTTGCACTCAAACTTGCCAGCTCACAGCTGAGCATTGAGGCTCCTTCCTTTGTGCGCAGCAGCGCGACCAGATTGGGGCCCTCTTGGTTTGGCTTAGAATGTCTGTCCCGAGTCTTCTTGCTGGCTTTGCCAGGCAAGAGATTTGGCAACGAGGGCAGGGGAGCTGGAGATGTTTGAGAATGACCGGCGTTTTCCAGGCCAGGAGGAGGCTTGACCAGAACGGACAAATGGTCTGACAGCTTCAGCGTGTGCATTGTACTCCCGCTTGAGGTTCCTGCGGCCTCTGCGGGAAGCTGCATGGCTTGGGTCATGGCTTCGGTCAAGGCTTGTGTCATGACTTTACCCTCTGAATGACAGACGGTCTGTGCATTGTGCACCGACCAGCTGCCAGAGTTGACCTGTGCAGTGTGCACCGGCCAGCTGCCACAGCACGGGCTGCGGTGGCTTCCATCGTGAACGATTTGCTCACCGGTCAGGGCATGTGTCATGTTCGTCATGTCTCTGCAACAGGTCGTTGCCCTGCTGCAGAGCCGGGACTTCCGCTTGAGCCCTGAATTCCAATCTGGAGGAGAAGCTGAGAGGCTCTGAGTTCTTTCCACGGACGTTTCGATCCTAACTCTGGAGCACCGGCTGCAACAGCGATCATGACTGATTTTGGCACTCCCCAGATTTGATGGGACGTGCCGCTTTGAGGTGCAGGTCAAGTGATCTCTGCCAAAGAAATCTGGAAATTCATTTGTGGCAACACAACCTCACAGGCCAGGCCTCTGGTGAAGCCGACAGCTCGTTGGGAAGTTGCGCGAAAATATTTCAGCCAGAAACCGCTCAGGTTGTGGAAGCATCAGGCTGCCGAAACGCGCTCCCGCGGTGCTTGATTCGGCCTTCGGAAATTGAAAACTCGGCCGATCCGAGCTAATCTCCTACCAATGCCAGAAACTCAGGCCGCCCGAGAATCGATCAAGCACCCGGTCAAGTAAGCCTATGTTTCAAGCCACAGTCTGAATCACACCTAGGAAGCACATACAAAACTTCTGCGTGCAAGATGTCCTGGCTTCAGAAGTGGTAAATTCAACGTCAGTGGCCTGTCCTTCGCCTGAGGAAGGTTTATTCCCGGCCATGGTGAGACACAGCGGAGACTGGGAGACAGCAGCTTCATGCAGATGATCTCCACAGCATCTCTGCCATTTATTGAAACTTTTGCCTCCTGAGCCTGTATCTGTTCAGACGCCCTGATGCAACGACAGAGTGCAAAACAAAGCGAATGCGACAGGTGTCAACATCCTAGGAGATGCCGCAGGGCTCAGGCAGAGTTCGGCAGATTTTGCTTACAAGATTTGGGCTAACGAGCTACTCCTCTTGCGCCGCCAACGAGCTCTCACCTGAGTGTTCACTGTTCTTTTTCCACCTCCAGTGCTCTAACTTCTGCCAAGCAACTCAAACAATGAAGATATCCTTCTTGCCAGCCTCAAAGGCTCAAAGGTTGTGCGGCCATGCTCGTGCATGCCAGACAATGTCTGCAGGACATGCAAGAGGCCCCGAAGCCAAGTTGCATTGTCATTGTGCAGCAGTCTCCTCACCTCACCGACCTTCGCACGCTACAGATGTGGGATAGCAGCATGCTCACTGCAGCTCCCAGTCAGCCGCCCAGTGCAGCCAAGAAGCAGCCATCTTTAGAGATTTGATCTCACGCCGGGTGAGCTTGTTCTCGAAGCTCATTCTCGCAAGCCTAGGGCATAGGCTCAGGCGAGACATGGCCAGGTGAAAAAGCGACAAATCAGCAAATGTGTTCGAGGCATTTCGAGGCCACAGCTGGAGGCTCTTGGCCGGTCCGTGCAAGTTGAGGCATCCGTTCACAAACTCGTCCAGGTCGACCAAGCCACTCCTCACACTGCGGGCACAATCCTAGACAAGCTCGGGCTGATGCCTCGGCTTCTGCCTGCCATAACAATTCTATATAGCACTTGCACACTTTTCCCCGATCGGCACTCTGTTTCGGAAGATCTTTTTCGAACAGCTTTTCTTGCGATGCTAGGCGCGTCTAGGCGCTCACAACAAGGTAACAAAGCACAAACACTGCAAGGCAGGTCAATGGCCTGTCGGTGTCCATGAAAGTGAACAGGACGCCAACATCCTGCAAAGAACCCCTTTCCCACGGCTTTCGCCTGGCACCCCGATTGCCCAGAAACTCGGGGTTGCCTGCCTCGGTGGAGATGCTCATGGACTCCAGGAAGCCAGCGAACTTCGGCGAGGAGAGGGCAGCCTTGAAGTCCCGAATGCTCACCTCGTTGTCCTCCTCAGGCTGCAGGGATCTATAACATGCATATATATATATATAACATCTAGAGACGCCCGCTGCGCAGAAACGCGCAAGCCCGATGTTGCAAGCCAAAGAACATGGTTGCCCACGATGTCGTGGAAAAGGTTTTGCAAGTCGTTTACCTGCACGAGGCATAGTCAATGCAAGCCGCTACGTGCACTCAGGCGATCACACTTTGACTCTTATCGCCAATCGGCCTGCTGGGTTCCTACAAGCACCCGCACCCTTCATCCATTGGGTCTGACGTCTGAAGCTTGTGTTTTCTCAGGCTGCAGCGATCCATGGTGCGCTCAATCGCTTATCAACGCTCAACTGAGCGACAGACGTCGAAGTTCCGCGGATACCGGTCAGGGAAGCCAGAGGCTACGCCAATCGAACCCATTCTGCTTCGGCTGGAACGCCAAACCCTCGGCAAACCCTCGATACCGCTACGAGGCTACGAGAGTTCCACGAGGTGAGAAATAAACCTTCACACAATTCCCAAACCCCGTGAGCCTGCGAGGAGTGCTTTTGAAGTTGTTTCATGGTGGCCAGGTCTTTGTCGGCAGCTGCGCTTTCCATCGCTGTGGAACAAAAAACCGCCGTCACCACGTTCACAATCTGAGTCGTTCGGATGCTGTTTTGCAGTCGGAATGCAGATGGATGCGGTGTCACTGGTCACGCTTGGATCAAACTCACTGCTCTGAACACGCTTGAACGGCCACACTCGCAAAGATGTCAACGAATCTCCCTCCGCCGGAAATTCCAGGTCGGCTTTCACACCACCCTAAACAAGTCCAAGCTTTCATTTTCTTTCCGACTCGTCTCTCGTCCAACCAAGGCAAGCCAAGCCACCGCGAAGCAGGTTATGGTTATGTAGATGATGAGGCACCTTAGCAGAAGAGACTTTCTTCGAGATGACTCATGACACAACTCCTGTCACAGCCAACAACAAGCTGCGCAGCTTGCACGGGAGAACTGGTGTACATGACCACAGCCAACTTTAGGCAGTCTAAGACAAAGAGTCTACCTTGCCGGGGTTCAGCTGTCCGACTGAAAACGTCCGAAGCACATTGCAGCCAGCGGGTCAGGGCGCCTTGATGTGTCAAACGAATGCATAGCTGACGGGCAGTGATGGGGCGCTTATGTTGAGACCAGGCGTGCATCTATCCGAGCTTGGCCGAGGCTCCCCATCAGCGGCTCCATAGCAAACTCCCAATCCACGCCACCGGTAATCGACATAAACAACGTCAGCATACTTGCCTGAAGCAGAGCGAAGGCTGGCTTGGCTCGCAAGCACCCTCCATGAGTGTGTATGTTCCATGTGGTCAACACTGAACTTGCGTCCAGGGCACGCTCACGCTGTTCCAATACTTGTTTGCATATTCATCCTTGCATGGGAAAGCGAAGCTTGCTGGAAAGCGATGTAATGGGACTTGAAGAACCCACTTTCTGCTTTGGCACCCACCTAAGCGGAGGTTGTGCGTGTGTGTTCGTGTACGTGCCATCATCGTCCGTGGAGCAAGGGGGTTATTCTCACATAGATACTGATTCTTTTGACCTCGCAAAGAAGCTGCCAGTGACATAGACATGCGAAGGGAAGACCCATTATCTTCCTGTACATCAGAAACGCTGGCCCCTGAGCCAGCGCGATTGGCAAAACCACGCCCGTGAGCTGGCAAGAATGGCTCACAGGCACCAAACTTTTGCACAACACTGACAGTTTGCGTAACATCTAGCGTGCATTGGTCGGCTAGCGACCCTCTGGCCCGCTCAACCACCCCCTTCTTTGTGGAGCTGTTGGCTTCGGTGCCGTGCATTTGGCACTACCTGCCAGGCTTGTCCTGTCTCTCTCCTTCCCCCTGTTTTGCATGCGCGGAGTAAGAGCAAGAGGGAGGGAGAGGGAGGCAGAGGGAGGGAGAGGGAGGGAGAGGGAGGGAGAGGGAGGGAGGGAGGGAGAGGGAGGGAGAGGGAGGGAGAGAGGGAGGGAGAGGGAGGGAGAGGGAGGGAGAGGGAGGGAGAGGGAAGGAGAGGGAGGGAGAGGGAGGGAGAGGGAGGAGAGGGAGAGGGAGGGGAGAGGGAGGGGAGAGGGAGGGAGAGGGAGGGAGAGGGAGGAGAGGGAGGGAGAGGGAGGGAGGTGGAGGGAGAGGGAGGGAGAGGGAGGGGAGGGAGGGAGAGGGAGGGAGAGGGAGGGAGAGGGAGGGAGACGGAGGGAGAGGGAGGGAGAGGGAGGGAGAGGGAGGGAGAGGGAGGGAGAGGTGTACATGCATGTCACGGAATCTTACCGAGACTGTGCAAACTCCGTCCTCACAAATGGGAAGAGCATTTCGATCGTTGGTCTTCAATATCTCCTGCATCACATCTGCTTCACTCCATCACGAAACCTGATTGGTGCATCGATGTCCTTTAGGCGGCAATCATCCAGGACCAGCTGCGTGAATAAGACACCAAAGGAATAGAAGAGCAAAAGCAACAAGACCTGAGCGTCGCAACACAGGCAATGCTCAATGCCTCGGCTGTCGAGCCTGTTCCTTCCCGTCGACATCTAAAAGAAGCTCTCACTTCAAAGCCGAGGTGCCAATGTCCAGAACAGGCTGTACATGCTGCTCATTATCGAGAGTATCAGTGCTCGCAAAGAACTGACATACCTGCCAGGCTACCGACTTTTGCATGCCTGATTGCCGGCAGATTGACCGGCAAGCCGGTGATGTTAGTCTTAGCGTGTCCCCCGCACTTGACGCGCCTTCAGGACGAACCCGTCTCTCTCTCTCTCTCTCTCTTCCGGGCTTGGGGATCACGGCAGCGTCCAGGCCGATCACCCCGTGCGCGCGCGCACACCCGCTTCTCGCGGGAGGTCTAACTCCACCGGTGCCCACCAACCGCCACAGCTGAAGCGGGGGAGCAGGAGGACAGCTCCCACCAGGACACCAAGGAAGCTTCTCGTCGCAACCGCAAGAGGCCCCACCAACAGAGAAACAACAACAAACTCACCCACAGCAGTGGGGGGAACACCGCAGCACGCCAGCCTCGACGCAGCCCGAAGCCACCCACGCCGCTCCACCACAGCAAGCCCAGGCAGGCGGGACACAGCAACAACCACCACCACAACAACAGCCCACGGCGGGGCGCCACCAACAACCATGCCGCACGCTGGTACTACATACTGGACACACCTCAGCCACGCGCAGTCCCACGCGAGCAGCCAACCACCAGGACCAGGCCAGACCATGGCAACACCACAGCTCCCACACACAAGCCCACCGCACCAGGCGCAACTCTACTACCACCAACAGGCAGCCCACCAAGCAGCACCAACGGGCCCACACCCGACACAACAACCACCCCTGCCCCACGCAGAGGTCACGCCCCAGACCTACCACTGGCAACAAAAAAAGGCACTACCCACCACCTTACAACCCGGACGCCGACCCCTGGACGCAGCAGCCAGCTCCCGAGGGGAGCACAGCGCCAGCAGAACAAGGCAACCAGGGAAAGCCACCGTCGCGGGGGGTGATCCAGCTGACACAGGCACCTCCACCAAGTCCGGAACAGAATCGCCAAGGCACTGGGCGAGATCCACAGGCGACAAGTGCAGGCGACAGCCGCACAACCACCGCAGCCCACAGCACAACAACCCTACACGGCAGCCCAGCTAGCCCAGGACGTGACTTCGGGTTCGCAACCTACGACAGCCAAGGCAATTTGGTCGACCCGCAAGGGCACATCATCCTACCACCAGAGGACGGCCCAGCACACCCTTTACCAGACCAAGCCGCAGCCACAACACCGATGGCAACCGGCCCCATCAGGCCCTACGGCCCGCATGGCATCGTCTATGCAGGACACTACGATCCCCACACTGACCCGTGGGCCGCGGCACACCAAGAACAGGAGAGCCAACAACAGCCACCACCACAAGGACAAGCCCAGCCCGCGGCAGCCCAACAGCAGAACAGCGGGGAAGGACCACCAGAGCCTACCACAGCCACGCAGCCCGCAGGACCGGACCCAACCTCGGCAGACACCTCCACAGCAACCGCAACCGCCGGGGAGAACCGTCCCCGCCCAAAGAGTTGTTGCCAGACCTCCCCGACCCTGGGACCACAGACTACCACCACGACGGAGGGGATACACAAAACAACGACAACCACCGAAGGCGAGCATGCCCCACACACAACCCCAGGAAACACGAAGGAGGGGGAGCGACCTGGACACGCAACAAAGCGGAGAAATACCGCATCAAGAGATGGCTCAAGGCACAAGGCATGTTCCACACGCAATGGAGCAGCCACCGAGCCAGGCCACAGACGCAGCAGCCAAGCCACCAAGCCGGCGGGCAGGACCAAGCACCACAGCAACCCGACCACCACACCAATGCCCACTGGAACCACCACAACCGCCAAGACCAACAGCCACAGCAGTCCAGCCACCACACAGGCGACCACTGGAACCACTACGACCACCACTACCACCGCAACTACCACCGCAACCGGCACCACCACCAGCAGATCGACGTCCCCCCGCCCAACTGGCAACGCCCCCAGATCAGCAGAGCGCGCCTACATGGCAAAGCTACTCAACATGGGACGCGACGGACCCACCAAGAAGCAGCCCAACACCACAGCAACCAACGACGCAGCCTACGACCCGCCCGATGCAGACTACCAGGAACCGGCTCACCACGCCGCCCTGGGTGGGGGGGAGTCGGCACCACCACCACCACTACGCACACGGTGCTGCGAGCAGGGAAATGGCTCAGTCGAGTGGAGTACCTGGGGGAGGTCCCCACCCCGCAGCCGGGGACATGCTACCCTCCACCCACCAACTCCATGCTCACAGCAGTGTACCCACCCATCAGCGGCGAAACGTGGTTGCTTGTGGAGCCTCTCTCGGAGGGGCGATGGCTCGCCACCGCCACGCAGGTTCCTTCGAGCACGACGCAGGAGCCACACAGCCTAGCCCTGCCTGGTCCATGCTCTTCACCACCACCACACCCGACCGATTCTACACAGCCCCAGCAGACACCACAGCTGAGGGGGACACCCCACCACAGCCGGCCGACAGCCAACACGAGGCGGACCAAGTAGAGGAATGGCGGAGCCAACCACACCAAGAGCAGCAACCGGCGGCACCAGCCACCACAGACACAGCCCCACAACAGCAGGACCCGACACTCAGCGACGGCAGAACACTACGACGCTCCAGCCGGGAACCCAAGCCGGACTCAACAACGACAGCGGCAGCAGCAGGCACCAGCCCAGCACCGTGGTACCACCAGGTCAGGGACGGCCGCCAAATAGGCCCACAGCCCAGCCCATCCGACCCACGACATGGACACAGACAGAACGGAGCTCATGCAGCGGGGGACGAGGGGGAGAAGCCCACATGGGGGGAGCTCGGACCTGAACGAGGTCCACTGGGACGGCTTCGCGACAGCTATGCTACAGCAGCTGCAGCTGATTCGCGAAAGCGCAGAGCAAATGCCGGAGCACGACGCCCTGGTCACAATGACGGATGTGGTGACCACGGCAAATCCATATTGTCCTGCGGCCTTAGCCGCCGACCCGCCCAGCACGCGGAGGATGCGACGAGCTCTCGGTGAGCCCAACGCCCTCGTAGAAGCTCTCCGCCAAATCCAGCGCTTCCGTATCACGCGGGGGAGAACATTGGGCGCGGGGGACTATGGCGAGGACCTGGCGCAGATCCTCTTGATGGTGGAAACCGGAGGGGTGCAGCTCCACCAACCGATGCCCATAGGCATCACATACCAGGACATCCAACAAGCAGCCAGGCAAGTGCAACGAGCGGGGGATTTACTTCGCTCCGCCCGCGACTCCGCCTTCAACGGGAACCTGGCCTGGAACACGCTGGGCTACTGGGAGGAGCTTCACAGCTTGATACAAGCAATGGCAAAAGACCACAGAGCTGGGGGAAACAGACCCCTGCAACGGTTCTCCTTGTTCGGCGGGGCGACTGGACAGCCAGAGCAAGCCGACATGAACGAGGCAGGGGACTTACCAACCCAGGCCTACGACACAGAGAGCCGTTCGGAGCCGACCGCGCCGGGGGGAGTGACGACGTTTGCGGCGGCGTTGGAGCCCGCGGGCACGATCCCGGACCTCGACGACACCCCGCCTTCTGAGTACCGCCCAGTGAGAGCAGCACGATCCCCAAGAAGGGATGATGACGACGGGGGAAGCCATAGGCGCAGGCGACTTCAAACGGCACACTACGGCCGTCACGGTCCCTACTAGAGAGCTACATCTAATCCATGTGGGGATGTAGCTTTCAGCCTTGTGCACCTTGAAAGCCGGACTCCCAAGTTGGACTGGCCTTTCCTCCGAAACCGGAGGGGGGGCATAACAGCAGCATAAAGCCAGCTGCCAAGACGTACAGCCTCTGGCCCGGGCCTCAGAGTGTTTGCGAGTAGTGACGGCAGTTGTGCGGGGGAAGTGCGTGCTGTGTTGTGTGTTTGGTAAGTCGTGTAACCTTTTCCAGAGTACAACTGCCAACAGGGGGAGCCCGCTTTGTCACAGTTGCTCTGCTCATGCAAAATGTGCGGGGGACTCCTGGCTCCCAGCTTAGCCCGGTAAACACTTGACACCGGGGGGGGAACCACACTGCTCAAAACCCCTTCAGTCTTGTGTACCACCGGTGGGAGAGATCCCCCGGCGGTCGCCGTCTGCTCAGGGTTCCTTGGTGGCAAAGGCCCTGCTCCGATGGTGTCTCTGCCCCCCGTCGGGTGGCTTAGTCTCGTTCCGGCGTCCTTCGGGGGGCGCCCTCCCCCATAAGTCGAGCTCGCCACCGGCAGTAGCGAGTACAGGCTCGCGGCTAGGCAGCACAACAAGGCCGCCCCTCTGGAAACCATGTTCGCAGGGTGTGGTTTCTGAGGTCGCTGCTGAGTCGGAATGCTGCAGCACTCCGAGGTCGGCTGGCACTTGAAAGCTGGCACTGTGCATGCAGACTGACATGGAACACTTGCAAAACAACTTGGCAACTGGTCGTGGACATGACTGTAAACATGTGGCAAGAAACTGTGACTGTGGCTCTCTCCCCTCTGCTCTGCTCTCGTAGTGGGTGCATGCTTTCAGGCTGTGCGCTGTTTGCATGTGGGAGGGGCCGGTTGTGTTGGGTTCTGCTCGGGCCTGTGGTGCTGCTGTTCGGTGCGAGGTTGTCATGGATGCTGAGCTGCTTCCCCGTGGCCCACGGTACGTCGAATCTCTCGACAAAAACTGCCGTGAGGTCGTGCCATTGCTGTCTGTTTTGTGCCACCTCCCCCCAGCGTGTGCCTGCTATGCTTTCGAATGCTCTCTCTACGTCTCCCTCTGGGTTGAAGCGGGCTGCGCGGTTCACCCGGTTGCTTCGGGGTTTGCGTTGCTCGGCTCGCCAGAACTCTAGGTTTTCCACTTCACCATGGCATTGACTTCTGCTCCCCCCCTGGCCATGTGACCCCAGAGCGACCAGATCCGTTCAAGGATGAAGGTGGACCATCGCTTCCATCCCCCCCTCTGCAATCTGACTCGTGTGGCTCTTAGGGTTCGGATCTGCCAGTCTGCCCAGGGTTCGGTTGCCTGCCTGTTGAGGAGGAGCATGGTCCGGATGTGCTGTGCTTGTACGGAGTTAGCTGCGCTGCTTTAAGCAGTCTGCTGTGTACTGGCCACGTCTCTGCTGCGTACAACGCTGCCCCCCGCACGAGAGAGGTATAGGCTACCATGCGGCTGCCCAGGCTTGTGCGTGCTAGTAAGATCTGCTTGTGTTTCGCAAGAGCCCCCCTGCTGCGTCTGCACATCTCGGCGACCAAGGCTGCTGTCTGCTCTCCGAAGGTGGGGAGCCCAGTGTTGTGATGGTGGTCTTGCGCGGTGCGCACTTGACTGTGGCCCCCCCGATCTGGAATTCCCCCCCACCCTCGGCCTTGCTGTAAAGAATTGCTGTTTTGGTGGGGTGGATGCTGAGGCCGTCTGCCTCCAATTCTTCTTCCAGGTGGGTGAGTATGTTGGCGATTCTGGCTCCAAAGGTAGGTATCGTCGAGGAAGCTCCCCCCCGCTCGAGGTGGTGGGGGTCCCCCCTGCGGGTCGGGGCCTTGTTCCGGGGTAGCGTCGATGGCTGCTTGTAGGTCACGAGCGACGATGGCACCAAAGAGGTCTGGTGAGTCTGGGCTGCCTTGGCGGATGCCGTTGGTTTGGGGGACCGTGGTGATGGTATCTCCCACCGCTACGTTGAGGGCCCGCGTCTCCAGCATGCTTAACCACAGCAGGGCTTCCCACGGCTTCCCCGCTCCACCGGTGGCACTGGATTGCGCGGGGCGCCAACGCGCGCTGCAACGAGCTCCCCCATGCAATGCTGCCAGACGCTATCGAACGCCTCGTATGTCCAGCTTTACAAGCCAGGTGCCCACCCCCCAGTCTCGTGACATTTGTGTCACGCGACGTATGGTCGCGATGAGTTCCACCCCCTGCCTGCCATGCCTCGCCCACTGCTGAGCGTGATGGGTCTTGTGTCGGTCCATGCGAGGGGGGTGGGAATGTTGGGCAGCAGCACCGTTATCCCCCGCTCGATTTCCCCCGGGATACGTGCCGTGTAGAGCATGTCTGAGAGGAGGTAGGTGATTCTGTCCCCCCACGCTGGGTCTCCGATGAGTACCTTGGCGGCTTCGTATGAAATGCCGTCGGGTCCGGTGCTTTTGTTGTTGCTCCATGTTGTTGTGGCCGCCGCCAGTTCTGCTCTGCTGAAAGGCTGGAAGGGTGTGTCTTTGCACAGTCGGCGGAGCTGAGCCTTGAGTGCCTCGACCCGGGCCCCCCCTCGCGGTGGCTGAGGCTTTGCGAAGATGGACTTCATGTGCCCCCGAAGGTGCTCCTGCCATTGTGGGTCATCTTGCAGGGTGAGTTGCCATCCTTTGTGGGAGTGGCATCGCTGCAAGCTTTTCCAGGCTTTCCAGTCCAAGTTGGCGGCGAGTTCCGCCTGTTGCTTGTGCCAACTTCGCTGCTCCTGTTTGTGGAGTTTGGCTACCGCCTTCCATGCTTGCCGGGCCTGCGGCCCGGGAGCACTGTCGTGGGCTGTGTGTCTGAGCTGTATGAGCTGTTCGACATGGTGCGGTGGTCGCAACTTCCTTGGCCCCAATGTGCTTCTGGCGGGTCCCCCCTTGGCCTGTGGAGCAACCGGCGCGGCGATCCCGTCGTGGTCGGAGAAGGCCCTATCTCGGATCGGCAGCACCGTCCCCTCCCCTGCTGCGAGGCCTTTGGTCATCAGGTAGTCTAGTCTCCTGGGTTGCATAAGTTGGTTGTAAGGGTGGTAGCTTGGGATGTGGAGTTGCTGTGGCGGCAGTCGGAGGCTGTGGTGGCTGGCCCACTCAAAAACTGTTTCCCCCCGGCCGGCGTGTGCTTGCACGTCCGCTGCTAGTGGGTGGGCTGTGGTAAAGGTTTCGTTGGCGTGTATCCAAACCAGCCATCGGTCGCGGCCCTCCAAGGTTTTGGTCCACGTGTGGAGGATGTCCCCCGTTTGCGGGATGGTGGCGTGGTGCGGGAGGTGGGCGGCCAACACTCTCAGGATGGTGGTGGTGTCGGGTTGTTTGAGAGTGGTGGTGACCCCCCGGGTGTGGGGTGTGACAATGCTGTGGTGGTGGTTGTATGCTTTTTTGTGTGCAATGCCCTCCCCTCGGGATTCGCCCTCACACTTGCCGTACACAAGCTGCCAAGTGTCTGACTCTGCATGAAACAAGCCCGCCTCTGCAATGATTTCTTGCACCAAGGCGATGCCGATACAGTCCAGTTCTGGGCTGGTCTGAAAGGTGTCCAAGAGCTCCAGCAACTTGTCGGCTGTAAGCCCCCCGACATTCCAGGTCAAAGCCCACGTGTTGCCGGTATTGTTGGCCCCCCCGGCTAGGGGGTGAAACTCCCAGGCATCGGTCTCCTCTCAGTTGATCTCCGCCTTCAGCGGAGACCACGCCGCGGTGATCGCATCTCGGCTGAGCCTGGTGGCCTTGGCTATCTCCCCCAAGTCGATCCAGCCGGGCCCTGCTTCCTCGACTCCCCCGGGACGGGGGGCGGTGGAGGAGCTGACTTTTACGCCGTTGATCCAGGCGCTGCCCGTGCTGAACTCCATCTGTAGGGCATTTTTGTCTCCCCCGGCGGAGAGGTACAACCTCTTGACTTTCGCAGCAAGTCTGGCCCGGCGTCGCCGATCTGGCGGCTGGGAGATCGCGATCCAAACTTTCCGGGGGCGACTGTGCTTCCCGCTGAGGATCCTCCCCCTTTCTCCAACCGTTCCAGTCGGGCCTGGACTTCCCTATTGGCTTCCTGCAGTTGTTGTAGTACATCTTCATGGGTAGTATATTTGGTAGTCATATCGTCCAGCAAGTTGATGGTTTGCTGCATCTTTTTTGTGACCTGGCTTTCCACGTTGTCCACTCTGGCTGCGAAGCCCCGGATGTCCTGCTTGACTTCCGAGAGAGCGTCCTTGAGTTCGCCCCGGATGGCCTCGCGAATGACGTCCAAGTGGGACGCGAGATTGTCCCCCTGGTCTGCTGCGCGACGTTTGGCAGGCGAGTTGCCTGCCTGATCCACTGTCATGTCATGGCTGCCCTGTGCGTTAGCCATGGCGTCCGCCTTTCCCAGGAAGTGTGCCGGCTCGCCGGTGTGCAAGTAGTGTGTCAAACGTGCCCCCGTGGTACTTTAGGACCCGGTGTTCTTGCGGCGGATCACTCCCCCGAACTCTGCCACGAGTAGGCTCGCTTTATTGTTCAGGTAGCTGGTCAGCAAGTCCCCCGCACGCCTCGGAGAGCAGCGGTCAACGTACAGCTCCGACCTTGCCGTACTCGCCCCGGGCAACCTCGAAGGAGAAGTCGCGTAGTGGTGCGATCGTGCCCGCGAACTTGTATGGCTTCCCCCCCTCTATCGGCTTTCCCTCGCAGTCAAGTTTGGAGGCCCTCTTCTGTCTGGGCGGTGCGGCCTTGAACCACTCACGGCTTGAGCCAAAATGGCTCTCTCTCTCTCTCTCTCTCTCTCTCTCTCTCTCTCTCTCTCTCTCTCTTACGATTCGCAGGATTCTTGATTTGGAAAACATCGTTTAGCATGATCTCAAGAACATCCTCAGCTATCCCTGACTTCATGAAATCTAGCTGAACCTTCTTTCACGACACACATGCAGTGCCTTATCAGCAACTCGTACTTCACCCATTTGTTAAACGGCTGGCGACTCAATCACCTCACCCGTTGCACTTTTTGTTCTGGGGCCTTGAGGCCAGAGCCACAAATGATTGTACGCACAATAACCTCCGAAGCCCTGTCTGGAATGCATAGCGGATATCCAATCAAATCAATTTCCAAGGTTGGAACCCTCTACCAACTTTCCCTGGTTGTTTGCAATTCCACCTGAGCAGGCGCATCACGCGGATGCCGCGAAGTGCCCGGGCTAAGCGCACAGTCCGAACGAAGCGCAGGTGGCTGGGGTTGACCTCTTCACACAGCAGAACGCTCGATGGTCCCCCAGTCAGCCTGGATCCCCCGCCTGGGCACTGGACGAGGACAGCGCCACATATTCGAGGACCGTTTCCAAAACTGACCTGCAGTGGCAGGGCTGGCCAAAGCTGGTCCAAAAAAAGATGTGTACATGATGCTCAGGTCACCATATTGCCATATGTAGTTTCTTCTTCCCTTTGTCGACGCACGTTGTTTTCTTGTTCGACTGCTCTTGCTTTTCTGTTTAGTCGGACTCGAGTCCGGTTTCTACCGCGGACAGTTCCCTAAATCGCACAGGTCCTCGGTATCACATGCCTAAGGTTGCAGCAAGCTGAAGCGGATTGATCGGTATGACACATGGGGTATGATGTTTGAGTTAAGCTGAACCGGTACGAGAACAACAACATGCTTATTCCGTGGTCGCTGAGAAACCATTTCAGCTGTCGGGAGGGGGGAAGGCTTCTTGCGAAGGCCTGAAGCGACAACTTTACTGAAAAGATTTGCCGGAGATTTATTTAGCAGCAATTATGCTGTGGAACTCTATTTTCAGAGTCCTGTTTGTGTTCAGCTCGTTGGGATTCCAACTTGCAGGGTATGTTTTTATGTTAGATTATTCAGTTCTTCTGCTTGACACACAAGCACGTCTTCAGTGCTCGGATAGTGAGGCAGTCTTAAAATGGCTTTGCTTGGCATGGCTTCAGCCGGGATGGAGGAGGGCGCCGCCCCACCCTCCGCAAACAGGCTCAAACATGGCTTGCCCTGGTCTGGCCTGGCATGTGGTAAGGAGAAACTCAACTCACAAAGGACTACTATTACAACTATCTGTGCTACTGACTGGCAAAGGTTGCTCTTGCGAATACCAATCTCATTACCACTACTTGTAGCCATGATCTCAGTGAGTGATGCAGAGGCAAAACACGATGATGACATGTCCACCTGCAAATACTGCGATGATGACGGTTATGACCTGTGACCGACCATTATATGATTAGACTATGACCATTATGACTGCTATGCTTGCTGCGGTTGCGAACACATTCGTTGTACGCAACTCACATACCCTTATGACATCTGCTGTCAGTCTTACTTTGACTGCAACTCTTACTGCTCCAAACATGCATGCTTCACGCACGATGCGTTTCGGTATTCGCCGAGCAAATAAACTAATGCTTCGGCGGTCGCAGAGGGCGGATGGCCTGCTGGATCTTGGGCCTCGACGAGGGAGGTGCTTCATTTATTGCTCCGGGAAGGCCCCTGCAACCGCTCGCTCGCTCAGAGCACGTGTGTCCAAGGCTTTCTGTTTCACGGTCGTGAGCCCTTCAAACAGACAGCCACCGGTCATGCGGCGAAATCAACATAGACCAACGTTGCACACATCCTTGATGTGATTACACGCCTTGGGTCTCCATGATTCTTTAGACGTGCATCGGCCTATTCATACAGCACCATCATGAGGCTTCGCTTTTCCCTTTCAGGAAACACCCGCTGCATTGTGCGTGGTCGGCTGTTGCATGACAAAGCTGCAGAATCACCACCGTAAAACAGCCTTTGGTATGGAGAAATTTCCAAGGTGAAAGTGTCTATTCACGCTGTTTCACGATTGACACATGGTCACGCTACCCACTGGCCATAGCCAAAATCGTCGGCCAGCATCGCTTAAACGATTTTGAGCACAACCCATGGCCAGTCGAGATAGCCGAGCCACACCAATATAATGAAGAAATCCTTGGGGAATCGCATCTGGTGTGTGTCTGGCCGTGTCTAGCCCGGGATGCAACTTTGTAAATCTCGACTTAAGACGATATTTTGAAACATCTTGCCATATGGCATCAACGTCTAACAACTGCAAGCAAGGCTCAAATAAGTTCCACCACCGCTCTGGTCCACAAAAGAAGCTCGCGAAGCCAAAAGCCAAGAGCTTGACACCAAGCTCCTTAACTTTAGCAAGCTGCGCGCATTTCCACTTGCCTCGTCTCAAGATACTTGAGGCAGTGAGACTCAGGCCCAGGATGTCATGCAGAGTGCATAACAAAAGCCGAAATTGTCTGTTCGAGCCGGACACTTCTTCGCACAGAATTGACCTGGCTCCTAAGTGTGTGCAATAGACCTTGCCTCTCCTTTTGCAGCATTTTTTGCAGCGAAGCTTCTGCAATGAAAAAGACAACGACTACAATGTTGACGATGGGAAAGACAACAGGTATCTCGTCTTGGCCAAGGAATCTAGACTGGTCCACCTTAGCTCCCCAGCTATGGTGCCAGGAGGACACATCCGATTAACATCGGCAGGAGCTATCCTCAATTCCTCGGTTAAGGCATCCAGGATACTTCCACACCTAGAATGATCAGATTGAGCATGATCACCGCTGTAACCATGTTGGTAAAGAGAGCAGACTCCACGAAGTGCGCGGCCATCATGGAGAAAGATGATGTTTCTTTCTCCTCGCGTTCAACGCTTTTTCCAAGCACGACACAGGGTCCTCAAGTATGCATATATATATATATGCGTGCCAAAACTAAGTTATGCATTTCCAACAAGTCATGATTGAATCATCATCCGAACCATCAGAAGCCTGCGAAGAGTATGCTGCTGAGGCCTTGCGGAGAGACTCCCGGCGAATTGTGACTTTCTCCGCCACGTTGTAGGCCCGCTCTTGGAAGACTCATGCAACATGTTCCATGGTTGGACTGGGAATGTTTGAAACGTAGCGATCCCGGCGGCCCACAAAGATTACATCTCGAGCATGTCTTCTTGCATTTGTTGGGCCTCTGGTTCGGGTGTCTAGGGGATATTCAGGTACACAATTTGGAGGCTGTTCGACAGTGACATCTACCCCTGAAAAGCTTCGGCTTGCCGACAAACTGCTTTCAGACTCTTTGAGCGTGCTGCTGACAAAGGTAGCCTCAGCCAGGACAACAGCTCTGCACATGGCAGGCACATCGTGCAAACGCCGGCAAGTGACGAATCAACTGCAAGACTCTATACTCTCAACATTGTATAAGTAACGGAGCACAAGTTATCTTATATTGTTAACAGAAACCCAGGAGAAGGCGTGCATGCAGCATTGGATGTGGCGTCTTCAAAAGTGTGCATGCTTCGCGTACAACAAAGTCCACGTCTTCTAGTAACTAGTAGCTTAACGGACTTAGTGAACTGCAATGACACCCAAGTCAAAGCCAAGCAACTATGCTGTCCAGACTGTCGGTGCTCCGTTTGTGGCTCGTCCGATCTGGAAAAGCCTTCGCTTCCAAGTTGTCCTTACGTTGCATTCGCACAACAGCGCGAAACGAAGAAAGCGTTCTCGCACATGCCTGAAAGACTCAGATCGGTTGTCGCCTGTGCTGCGAGTAAGAGGCAGCACTGACTGCAGGACTGCAAAATGAACTAGAACAGGCGTCTGGCAAGAAGGATCCTAAAGATGTCTCCGATGCTTCTCCATGAACAAGATCAACGACATCCTTGGCAGTGCATGCGCAACATGGAAAGCCAAAACGGTGTGCTTGCAGAGGTACCACTTTTTTCGGACTGACCCTGAGGCATGCTTCCCTAGCACAACTTCCATCTAGCGATCGCTGCGGCGCGAGTGGGAAGCAGGATGGCTGGATCACGCAGCCATAAGGCAAAAGGAAACACATCCCTTTCTCCAAGAATCGTTGCTGCGGTCATTAGAGACGACACTGCTCCTGGCATGTGCACTTGCGAGCGGTGGGCGAAGATTTGCAAGAATGGCGAATGCGAGGAGTGGGCACACAACATGGCTTGCTGCAGCGAAGAGGCAGATCATCTTCAGGTATGGTTTCGAAAACACCAGCTTTGTTTCGACCGACCTTGGATTCACTGTGCATCAGTCGCCCTGAGCAGCCACTGAACCATCGCAACTCGGTATCAACTCAGTCCACCAGCATCCTGTAAAAAGAAGGCCCCCGCAGGCATCAATGGCTCCCCGTTCAACAACTGCCAACCATTAATAGCAATAAATGGAAGAGAGAAACATCAACTTGTTGTGACATTCCTTAGCGTTGCCTGGCGGTACCAGTTCTCGCCAAGCAACACGATGCAGCTGAAGGCTAACTTCCTGAAGATAGGTGGTCTGCCTCGCGAACTGGTAGTCCAAGAACCTCCTCAACTTCCTTGACTCTGCACACTCCCTTCTACAAATTTCTGCAAGACAATCCTGCTTCTCGCCATGCAAAGCCTCGAGAGACTTCGATGGGTTTATGCAAAGTTTGCTTGCGAGGTGCTCGATCTCCTTTATCACATCCTGCTGCCTGGGCACCACAGAATGGCCGGCTCACAGACCGAAGCTACAGCTTCAAAAGCTTCAAGTCAAAAAACTTGCGCTGGTCGGGCCAGGGTGCACAGGGTCCGAAGCTGTTGGAGATTGAGGCAAATCTGAATGCATGGGCACTCTCAGCGCACGGCTTCAAGCACTGCAATAGCCACACGGCTCGTTCCAATCATTTGACGGAACGGGAGCGATCGCTGTGAAAGCTGCAGCTGGCACAAGTTGACAACACCGTTTAAGGGAAACTCTCTGCAGTGGGCCGCCACACACCCCTTCACAACAACGAATCCGACAACGCTTCGCTTGGATACACCTCAAACCCCGTCCTGCGTTGCAAGCAGCACGAACTACACTAAAATTAGCAGAAAGTTAACCCCTTTGGCTTATCCGAGCATGCACTGAACCTCGTTCAATGTCGCTTTTGCTAGCAGAACCTATCTGTATCAGCTTCTGGCATTGGCCCAAACTGGCACGTCTTTTTTGCTTTTTGGCAGCTGCTCCGGGCAGACTTCTTGTGCGAATCAGAGAGACTAGGCCGTGGCATTGATCACGACCTGGCCCACGAAGGACGAACCAGTCGTGGACATCGGCTCCTTGCAGATACTACAAGCTCATGCACCCATTCCTCCGAAGCCTGAAAGCTGGTACAACATTCCCGCCCAAACTCCGCAACTTCATGCAACTTCAACCTCAACACCTTAAGTGTGATCTCGATTGCGCTTGCAACATTCGATCTGACTGGTCTTGTCGCTAGCAGCCCTTTGTCTCGCCGTCCTGTGTCATGTTGCTGCCATCCACTGTCATGAGGCACCAGCTTGGAGTGCAGCCGCCTGAATCTAGAGGAAGGGGCGCTTGCGGCTGCTGTGGTCGCATGTGGCAATGAAGGCGCTAGAGGTTCAGGCTGATCCCTGAACACACCATGTTGGCCCAGTCGCCGAACACGCACGTGCCAGTGATGAACGGTTGCATCACAAGGTATCGAGCACCAGATCTGGCTCCACAATCCTAAGACAAAGACAAGCAACGCAACGGCTTAAACTCTGCGTGACCAGTGGTTGGGCATTGCCTTGGATGTCACAGTACCAATGTGCGAATGATTTCTCCAAGCCGCCACAGTCTTGGACTCCTCGGTGATCGTACCACAGAGCCTCCGTCTGACAGGCATAGATGCAGGAAACGGATTCCAAACAGCTTCGTAGCTTCTCACATGCTCCGCACTGTGAGGACTCCCTTGCAGCCAGGGCACTCTGCAGTCGGTAGGACAGTACCATGTTCCGAATTGGTGAGATACACCTGGTGCGACCCCTCCACAGAGCTACCCTGGCTAAGATGCGCTGGCACGTTGGACGGACGGGGCGTCGCATGCTTTCTGTGGCCCCGCGGCAGGGAACTGCATGTCACAGCCCGTGTAGGCAGCTAGGCAGAACCAAGAACGAGCAGCAAGCTTCAAGTACGGCCTTAATGCTGGAGACATCATCAGAAGGATCGGCGAACACCGCACCAACCTTGGCGCCGTCATGCTGTGGTATGATTTCCTGACACACCGACACGCAGTATAAAGCAGTTCAACTTGAGAAGAGGGCCATGAAAGGAAGGGGAAAGAAGCGTACCAGCTAAACAGTGGGGGGACTCGTCAAGTGAATCCATTGCAGCACATCACTGCGAATCGCTCGAGCGTGGCGGAGGTTTGACATAATTATGTCCAACTGAGGTGTTTCCTTGGGGTACTGGCGTTTTCGGGCCGCACAAGGCAACCAGCTTTTGGCCTCCTAGTGTGTGAAGGACGTATTGTCGAAGTGCTCAACAAAGTCGAGGCAACCGATTGTCTGTGCGAAATGTTGACAGCTGTTGTGAACTTCACTTGCAAAGGGAAGCTGCAAGCTGGTTGGCATGCACCCTGCCCGAAATGCCAATCAATACACCCCGCACAACCAGAGACGGGCGCCGCAAAAGTCGCAACACGCAGCTGCGTGTGCAACCGCAGGGTTCGCTATGGCTCACCGTGCCAATTTGCAAGACACTACACAAAAGTCGCTATGCTGCGAGTTGGCCTTCAAACTGCTGCTAGAAACTGGGTCCGATCTTGCAGGGTCGAGGCAGCACGTATGCACTGCGCAAAAGCAGTCTAAACATGCTGGACAAGGGGCCTCCGGGGGGAAAGGGGGTATCCAGAAGGCGGGACCAGGCCCTGCCACAACCAAGACCCCGATACACAAACCAGAAGCCCCACATCACATTTGACGCCGCTTGTCATGGTGATGTTGATGATCACTAATTTTCCCTTTGAGGATGTTGACAACAATGTTGGGATTGTGTGGATGACGAGCATGCTGAATCTACTTACCACAGTGGTGATGATGATTATCATAGTCATGATCATGATGCTGATGGCGATGATGATGATGATGATGATGGCTGTCATGATGATGATGGTGATGATGATGATGATGATGACGGCGATCATCGTGATGATGATGGTGTTGGTGGTGTTGTAGTCGTTGCTCTTGCTGTTGCTCTTGATGCTGCTGCTGTTGCACGATTAGGTCGTTTTCCTTGCACGATTACACACAGCATCCGGATCCCCACTACAACGGTTTTTTTCAACGCGACCGTGAATCCTTCAAGGCTCACATTCGGGATCGGCAACGATAATGTGAGCTTGTCAGCTGAATGTGGATTCTGAGTTTTGCACAAATCCAGGCCCAGTTGCAGTGTAGGGCTTGTGGTTGTGGTATCGGCGTCCCGGTTGTGGCAGCAACTAGTCGCAGCCCCCACCCCCACCCACCCCACGTTGTACAATACCTCCGCCACCTCGTGGTGAGGCCCTCTTAGCGCCTTTAAATCCATCATTGGCATGTTGCCGGGGGCGGCCCCGTGAAAGGACATACGATTTGGACCTGCGCCACTACATCGTTTTGCATAAGTGAGTTGTTAAACGACACTCCTGCAAGTTCCGCAGAGCTTTCATGACCTGATCGAGTTGCCTGATGTCTATGAACTTAAGTTTGGCAGCGTCTTGTGTCCTGTGTCCCCGGCCGCCTGCTTCGAGCCAAGGTCCCAATACACGGCATCGGCACCGCCTGCTTTCTTGAAGCACGTGGTCGATGCCTGCAGCACTCTCGCAAAGAGCATAGCTGGAGTAGGTAAGCTGCGAGAAACTGTTGATCGTGACCTCTGATGTAAGGCCATACGTCCCGCAAGAACAATACTCTCCGAACGCCCAATCTCAACAATAGCTTACGGTATCTCAAAGAGTTGCCTGATAAACTTTGATCAAACAACCCCTGCAAGCAGATCTCTGAGCCCTGCACCGTAGTCATCTCGGGCAGCGGAGATGCCTTACGCCCCATTCCGCACAGGCATTCACATCTTGAAGCAAGTTATGTGACCATGAAAGTTGCTTCGCTGTTGCCTGTTGCATGAGGGTGCACAATGTCTGGGCCCAGAGGCATTACGACTTCGCCTCGTTTCGGGAATCGGCTTTGGCCTGTGCTAACTCTACGCTCACCCCGTTCTTGTTCCACAGAATGCGTATGGGCGTACGTCGTCGTCCAGTAAGAGGCGGCCCGACTATGCAGAGTGACTACTTTCCTTGTGCTCTCCCAGGACTGGCTGAGCGGGTTCACAGCACGCAGGGGTTCTGTGCTCTTCGCATCACACGGCACAGCTCCACCTTTCTTCAAGTGTGCTTCGGTTGCGTTCGACTCTTCTTGCCAGTGTGGCAAGTGGCATGGGCTGCTTAGTGGGCACGCAAACAATGCTGGTTAAGCTCAGCCTGAAGCCGTGCTCACATGGTTTCAACATGTTACACAACTGAAGCATGTCTGAACAAGAACTTCCGGCGTGTAACGAAACATCAAAATCACAAAGGTTGGACTGTTTGCATGTCTGCATCCATCCTTAATTCGGTCTGGGCACCGTGGTAGCACTGAGAATTTGCACGGAAGAGATGTTGATCTCGCCATTGCAAGCCTCCTGGTATTGGGGACAGCAACGCACAACTCGCTCTTCAAAGATAATCGCTAAATCCCCAGCAAGCAATGTCTGTTTCTGAAACGCTGATCTGGGGATTCCACTTCCAGCTGCAGTGAAGCACATACTGCTGCAATCCCGGTCTGACGCTTTGCTGCTTGGAAATCTTGGAACAGAACCAGCACCACATCGTGTGCTTCAAGCACAGATCCCCACCGATCCCCACAGCACCTCGCAGTGCAGCTGTGGGCAGGTTGCAAGCCCAGCCGGGAGGTCACCTGCATGTCGGCATTGGGAGAGGACATGGTCAAGTAGGCGGTAGTACTGCACAAACAACACCGTGGAAATTCTGCGATGTGACATGACCCGTTTAAGGAGGACACAAGCAAGCATGATGTCGCACAAAATTCCAGCGACGCTCACACTTCGGCCGAGGCACCATAGTGAGCCGCATCAAACTCTGCAGTTCCGGGAGTTTCGCCTGCACGGCGGACATCCATGACATTCCCGCTGAAGGTCAGGCTCTTAGTGCCTCGCAACACACCATCACGAGCGTTCGCCGAACAAGAAGAGTATCAGGTCTGTTCTAATTGCCCCGGCATAGTATCTAGGAGTTCCGGGTTACGGGTCCGGGTTCCGTCCCGGAACCGGTCCGGGTTCCGGGTCCGGGTCCGGTTCCGCGTTCTGGTCCGGGTCCGGGGGGGGGGGGGGGGGGGGGGGGGGGGGGGTCCGGGTGACTGGTGACGAGAAAGGCGGTATTATGAGGAGTATGGCAGATGTAAAAACAACATGAGCGTCTGTCTCAGGCCCTCCTCACCTCAACAAAATCCTCCCATGAGAATCCCTTACGCTCACATCCTCAAGCTTACTCGTTCTCGAGAACAGCTTTTGACGTGGAGATCTTCGGTCGGCATCGCAGCCATTCGAAGCGTTTCCGCTGGCTGAGTGTTGTGGGAGGGTGTCGAAGACCAGAAGCATGCACCAAAGGCAAGCCGCATTCCCCCTTGACAACTTGGGCTTGCCAACGAATGTCTTCGACAACCGTTCTGTGTCCACACGCACCACAAGCATGCCATTACCCGAGAGAAGCGCAAACAATTCGCAGCTTTTCCTGTCAATCAAAGCCACACCGATGCGTCCTTTCG